CATAAACCTGTTCGTGGGTTTGTTTATATAGCTGGACGTTTTGAGAAACAGTGTTCAAATTTTAGGGTAATGTCAAGCCATTAAAGACGGTGAAGAACAGACATTCAAGTAAGACATGAACTTTCCACCTGAAAGTTATTCCAGTGACTTGTGAGAGTGAAACGAAATTGGATACAATGCTTGAATGAGATATTCACTTACGCAGTCACGCATCCCTAAATACGTTAAACGCACTCACGAAAACATCAGTAGAAGCAAGACAAGTAATGATACTGGAATAAGGTAGTGGAAGGGAACCAATTAATTTGCTTTATGAGTCCTAAGTTATAATGTGGCACCTCGGGTCTTCCCAGAAGTCGTAGGAATTCACATTGGCATGACAGGGAATTCACTACTGGCGTACAGAAGAGTTGAGGCTACCGGCATAGTCCAAAGGTCTCACCGCCTAGTGGAATTACAATAGAATATAATCGAATATAAAGGTAAACAAACTGCCAAAGCATTGCAATTGTGATTTACCTCTCCTATGGTGTCTCGACACAGCCGTTCAGGAGCTAAAGTCTAGAGTGGCTTTGTTCCTTGTTTTACTTAAGTGTAGTGCTCCGAGACTTCCCTAAAGACGAAAAAAGACGTAAAGCCTTGGCAGAATACACATATTGGGCTTACAGTAGGGCTTTGGGCTGCCAGCATGGTCTGAAGGCCAGCCCGTCCGGCGAATATGCAATGGAGGAGCATCTTAACTGCCCTTTTACTAAAACTGATAGTTAAACAACTAATATATTGCATAGCTTTTCTCTCCTTTTTTGAGCATCGTACTGGGCGCTCCCCTAGGTCAGCCTTCCGCATCAGCCAAGACAACGTAATTGGTGCAGTAAAGAAATGTTCACGAGCCAATCTTGCCATTAATCGGATCTCCATGCAAATGGGGAGATACGTGACCGCAGCGCCACTGACCCACCTCGGCAGTTCCACTGATTCGAGAGTTTCATCCTGTATGGGAACTGGATTCAGGGACACAAAAATGGGCAAGCTATCACTCATTTCCGTAGTTAGTTTTAGGAACGCTGGTCCAAAGTCAGAGTCGTGTAGCAAAGGAAGGAATTTAGTATTGTCCCGTGGGAGCAGGATTTCGTGGCTATTCCTCCTTCCCTCGTTGTTCTCACTCCAGAGCTGTCCAGCCATATCTATCTACCTTCTAATCAGATAATAAAAATTATGGGAGGTATCGCGTTTTCACATACTTGATATCTCCGCACAGGCACAGCAAGCAGCTCCCTAATGAAACCCTCCCCACCACCCCAGATAATTCACGGCTAGCGTCGCTTCAATTGTTAATGGCTTTCCCGCAGAACACGGGAGTGGAGCAGTTGCCGAAGGCAGCTGTCATTTTCAGCCTTTCTGATATGGATTTTTACTGATTTTCCCATCCGCAGCATATGCATTTCTTACGCCCGCTAAGATTTATTACTTAGAAGCCGAAATCGCAATAAACAAAAACCTTTAAGGACCGGATTCGCTTTCTGCTACCACCAATGTAGCGCCCTTGGACTTCTCTGAAAATGAAACATAATACCCGAGAGGAATATATGTGTTTGACATACAGTAGGACTTGGAGCTGCAAGCATGGCCTGGAGGCCAGCCTGCCCAACGGAGACTCAAATTGGCCCCTTTACAAAAACTTTTCAGAGAGCTGCAGTTAAGGATACATCGAATACGTGATTTGTGCAATTATGTGTTTATATATCGTAATAAGCTTTATCTATAAATTTCTGTACTTAAGGCCATTTCGAATGCGACTACCCAGTGGAAAAATACACTGTTCTTTTTCCAAAAATGCACTTATAGCTCATCCATTGCAATCGGGTCATAGTCTGAAATGTTTTGGACTACTGAAGGCGGTATAATTCATACCATTGTTAATGAAAGCACACTATAAACCCGTAGGAAGGCTGAGAATCTATTCGTATGGGTGACAAGAGCTAGAGTCCTTTCGAAATTTGTAAGACTAGAGGAACTCGTTTAGTTATATAAATAATTATGCTATGTTTTCCCTCCTTATGAATCACGAAATCACCTGACTGTCAGGTAGTAATCGTTCTAGAACCACTAGATCTACTTAACAATTTAATTGGGATATTTGCGGTCAATATGGAGATAATAAAAAGAACGCTAGTACTCTAGTTGTTGAACTTTAAAGAAACAGATGCGATTGCTAAAACGCTACTTTCCGATTAGGAGACTGCTCTATGTAACATTGTTTGACTATCAATATGGATGTGGAAGCTGAAGTGGTGCCATTTGATCAATAGGGAGAATGGATCACGATGATCGAAATTCGTAATCACCCCGCAGGATTTTGGCCATCAATCAATCAATCAATCAAAGTGGTTCTCTTAAGGAAGCGTTCAAATGGTCTATTTGACAACTTCAGAGTCGAAAACTAGGAGGTTTGCTTCCTTTCTACCCTCAGTTTTAAGAGTCTTTACGATTTGGAGCTGTATAAGAGTGAATTCTTCGCCAGCCTACAAAGACTAAAGAATAGAGAGATAGCTATCACCTCTATCTCATTGGTCAATCCTACGTTTTTTCCTTGAATTCTTCCCACTGGGTACTCGTTTGGGATCCAGAATAGAGCAAATACGATTTTAGGATTACTGCATATCTACTGATATTGCATTGAGTCACGAATCAAGTTACCTTTCTGTCTCTCATAAGCAAGTAAGATTTGCAAGTCTCGTTCATCCAAAATGAAGTGCCTTTTTTACTCGGCCTTTGCTAAACTACCTTATTATTATCATACACTATAGTTATTCTGTACTATTTAATTTTCCTGCTTGTACATTCCTATAAATTATTACCTCACTTTTCTCCTGTTATAAGTGTAGGTTCACTACTTCCAGAATCGCACTTTACAGATGGAAAAAGTAGTGTAGCGTCCCGAGACTCCCTGAAGACAAAAGAAGACACGAAACTCGTGCAGAATACATATATTCAGCACGGAGAAGGTGTCTGGGCTATTGGCATGGCCCAAAAGGCCGGC